CAACTGAACTTTTATCAATACACTGCGTCTCAGGATACGGCACCGAAAACCGCGACAAAAAGGTACAATTCGGTAACAACTTTTGCTGCTGAAGTAAAGTAAACGGTTGCGTACAAGCTGAGAGGGCATCCTGACATATCGATAAACAAGGAACATCGATTTTAGGATTTGATCCACACCTCGGAAATGTTGCTGTACAGGCCCATTGGGCATATGCGTTAGCGCAGGTGGGGAAACTGGCTTTGAGTTGGAGTAATTGTGATAGTTGTGATAGGGAATTTTCGAGGAATGTTATGTTTGCGCCGGCGGGAATGAATGTGGAGTAGTTGATTACGCCTTGACATATTCCACTCGTGTTTGTAGGAGATGCTGTTGCTGATGGGTATTGCTGACAGGCTAAAAAGAAAACAAGGTGTAAATTGGTTGGATATCAAGGTGATTCATAATAACTGCGACGTACATTGTCCTAGAGCTATGGGGAATGACATCGAAAATAACGGTAGAATATGTAACAAACGCATTATTTGCAGTCGACCGGAAGCGGAAGAACCAAAAGAAAAGACCCTTTGTGTCTTGGGTTACACTGTTATAATTTTAAAACGTCACACACAGGATCAAATGCATTAATGCAATATGGCTCCCACGCAAAGCTTTTGATTTGATGATTCATTCTGTGTTTGAGAGCGGTGCACATCTTGACACTTGAAACGCAGCAGCATAATATCCCGCAACTGTGTTCCAAATCTACCGGGCCCGAGATATAAATTTGTTCTGTGGTTTGAGATTCATATGCAATTAATATATCGCAATTGATTTGATACCGACGATTTCAAAGTTTTATCCATGCACAAAAACTATACACATCTGCAGCTGCAAAAACCCTTTCGATCAGCATAATCTCTTCGACCTGGTTTTGATTTCGGTACCGTTACATCAAACGACAGAAATCAAATTCCAAAGTTTCATACTTTTTCACGATCGCGCAAATCACACGATACAAGAATTCACAGCAAACTGCCATAAGTGCTGATTCATCACATTTTTTTAACGAGCGCCTGTTGAGAATGCAGTGGATTTTAAAATCAACCTCCGACCAGGGTATCTCTCTTGACTCTGCTACAGCGGACTACCATGTATACTTTTATTTTGAATCGCAATAACAAGTCCTTTAGAGAGTGGCAGTGCAGAGTAGTTTGACATGCAGCCTCTCCCTTCGGAAGTGTTCAAGCACATTTTCTCGTTCCTGGTCGACAAGCCACTGCTGGCCCACGACTCGCCCTCGCCGGTCCCCGATGCCCCCTCCACTCCAGCAGCCCACTCGCCGCAAGTCGGCACTCCCACGGTCTTCAGCACTCCCGGCCCCACGACCCCGGCGCCCTCGCGTCCTTCTTCGCACAGCCACTCCGAGTTCCCTATCGCCTGCAGACATCTCCAACACGCTATGGCCTTTGCTTTCTCCTGCAAACTAGTCTACTCCCAATTCTCCCTCTACCTCTCTTCCTCCTTCCTGCACCGTCGTCAAGGCTCGCTTCTAATCTTCGGCGACTGGGACGCCCCAATCCCCTCCCTCTCCGCAAAATCTTCCTCAACATACCCAAACCCTTCCCCAAACCCTTCCCAACAGCCACACACTTCGTCTTTCTTTTTCCAACAAACTCCACTAAGAACCGCGGCGTTTGCGTGTTTATCGCCTGCGACCGTACATGTACTCGGAACTTGTTTGAAGAATATGAAATCACTAACGAGATTGGAAATTCAACCGTTGGAGCAAATTGGTGGCAAACCACTTGGTACACATGGAATTAACATCCTCGTTACGGCACTATCGACTCAACAATCACAGTACACTCTCGACCTACAAAATTTCCTCTCGACCTACAAATCAACGTTTTCGGAGGAATACATTTCACCACTAATCACAAATTCTCTCGCATCCTTAATCTCCAGTTATTTACACACACTTGATATCCCCGGCCAACAAATCGGTCCCGACGGTGCTTCTCTCCTCGCTTCATTCCTCTCCAAAAACACAATCCTCACATCACTAAATCTTTCCGGCAACGCATTAAGTCTCCACGGCACCGAACTCATAATCGACGCGATAATCCAATCCCACACCTCCTCTCCCGTTGACGAATTAGAAACCATTTCGGTTCCGATGGATAATGAATTATGGAATGTGTGTTTAGGAGTTGGACTCAACCAGTCGGTGTTGAGTGTAAATTCTACCGGAGTAGTTATAAACTTACCTACCCGTCGGAGATTAACTACATTGGATGTTTCTAATAACGCCATTGGTGTCGGTTCGGATTCGGATGCTGTCCGCGTGTTGCAAAAATGTATCAGTGTGCAAGCGGGATTACAACGCTTGAATTTATCAGCAAACGGAATTTCGAGTCCTGTGAAAATCCGGGGTGTATTAAACGCCGTGAAACAACGACAATTGTGTAAGAGTGGGTTGAAAGTATTAGATTTAGGGTATAATTCAATCACCGGGGAGGTTTTAAAAGATGTGTTTGAAACTTTTGTTGTGTGTGACGAGGGTGTAGGAGTGTTTGATGGTGTATCGTTAAAAGGGAATGATTTGGGGAGTTTTGGAGCGGAGGTTTTGTGTGGTGTTGTTAAACGTCTAAGTGAATCGGTGGTGAGTGAATGTTTAAGGATCGTCAGACGAGTTTTCGATTTGGTTGATGACGGACGACACGGATCGATGAGACAAAATGCTGTAATTGGACTTGAAAAACGGATGGAGGAGTTGGGTGTTGATGATGGTAAACGGGTTGGTGTGGAATGTTTGGACTTAAGTTTTAATAAGATTGGACGGGACGGGTGTAAGTTTATTCAAGAAATGATGAATGTGGTCTCACATACGGTTGAAGAAGTTGAACGGATGAAGAAGGATGTACGGTCAGTTACGAGGTACAAAGGTGATAAAGATTTAGTGGAAAAAGGGAAATTTCAGAGGATTGTTGAGAAGGGTGTTTTAGAATTGGAAAAAGTTAAAGGACGGATGAAAGGGTTGAAGAAGTTGGATTTTAGGGTTAATTTGATTGGGTTGCATGGTGCACGAGCATTGGAGGAGTGTTTGGAGGGTTTTGAGGGTGAGGTTTATTTGAATATTTAAATCAGCCATCTACACCCTTGAAATGTTTTTTGAATAAATTATAAAAATTGAACCTGTATAATGCTGATTGAGGCGTCAAACCAAAAATGGTGTAAATTGAGATTAGCAAGCCACGAGGTCAAGATTGTTTGAATTTTTGAGTCATGTGCACCTACAATTCTGTATCCCTCGTTATCATTCAGTGAATATTGGAAAGCAAGGATGTTGCCGAGGTAACCTTGGCCAGCGCCAAGGTTGAGAATGTGTTTGATGTGGTAGGTTGTTGCACTTTGGTGATTATTGTGTTTCTTTTATTCAGAAATGCCATGTGTATTTTTTATCTAGAGTATTTGCTATTATAAATCACAGAAGAGAAAATAAGGAGATTGTTTAATTTCTTGATCCATTTCTAACAAATTGAGTTGTGGCCTGGTAAATACCATCTTTTGAAATAATGTGAAGTTTTAATTATCATCTGTAACTCTCTGGCCATAATTCCTTCAAATTCAAGAATAACATTCAACAAGATAAAATTACTCACAATGGTTTAACAACCATTCCAATAACTCATCAGTTATACAGAATTTTATTAATAGTGCAAGTCCACAAAATAGAATCTCAGTTCTCCTGCACTGTAGAGAGAGCAATTTCCTAAATAGTCAGATAAAAAAAACTTGACAGGGTAGAATTCCCATAGCCAAGAATAAATTTCAACATGGAGAAATAATTCAGTAGCAGTATATCCTTGCAGCTTGCTCACATCACTAGGCTTTCTCTTTCAAGATCTTTCACTTTGTCAAAGTCCCTCTTCTCAATATCCACTAGACAACTCCCAAGTCCAGATCTAAATCTGGGTTTTACATTAGATCTTCTCTTTCTGATGAAAACTACAAAATGCACCAGAACTCCTATCTCCTCTCTATCTGCCAAGTTTTACTCTCTTCCCACACATATTAAAAGTCTTGCATCTCACCTTGAAAATTTCCCTCTATATCTAGACACTTCAGGCAAATTCCTATTAAAATTTGTTTCTGAAATGTCTGTATATGGCAAAATTAACAACACTCTCTAATACCTAAAAACAAAATACTATTTTTGGCTGAAATTATGATATAGTTTGTCCACTTCCATTATTGAACACATATCATCCCAGAATCACTTTCTAACACACCAATAATAATCCAACTCATCCCTCTACCATTCAAACCTAAAAGCAAAATCAACTAACCTCAATAACAACCTCCAAAAATCCAACAATGAATCCTGTACAATCCATCTACCATCACACTCACTCAACCCAAAATTCTGTGTATAATTATTTCCGGCATATCAATTCTTTTATATAATGACGTATTGACAGTAGGAAACACAACCAAAGCAAATCTGGAATTTACTCATTCAAGATGCATCCCAAGACAACATTTTTACTATTTTCTCTAAAGGTGACCAATTTAAATTTCATTCTTATAAGAAATCAATTGAGGATGTTGATTTATTTGATCCAGAAAGTTTGAGTGCTGATTATTTCAAGTGGATCAGTACTGTAGTGGTTAGAAAAGAATTTTTGTAGTAGGATGAAACAAGTATTATTAAAGATTGACATGAGAATATGAGTAGTTATGTTGAAGCAGGAGTTTCCACATTCTGTTTCTAAATGATATTTCATCTTAGAAATGCCAGTGTTGTCCATATCAAATTACCTAATAATGAAATAGTTTCAGATAATTCAAATTCAATGTTTTTAACACCTTTTAGTGGTATATTTACATTCACCAAACGATTTATTATTTCTGTCAAATACCCTTAATGTATTGCCGGTTAAAACAGAGAAAAAATCGCCAAAATTGCTAATTTAAGAAATTTTCTTTATATTATAGTAAATCGAAAAAAATTTGTCGCCGTTGTGGTGTAGTGGTAACATAAATCGTTGTGGCCGATTTGCCGGTGGTTCGATTCCACCCAACGGCAATCAATACTCCTTTTTTTTTTTTTCAATTTCATTTGTCCACAATCTTATTCTTTCAAGTTATTCGTTTGCTTTTAAGTTATTCTTTTGCTTGCTGGGTCATTTTAGGAGATCAGGAGAAAAAGGACTTTCAATGCTCCTTTTTTCAAAGTGAAAATTTGGACAATTCTTCTGGCGTGGATATCTATAATAGAGAGTTTTTGCAACCAGGAAATTTCAAATTGACACATTTGATTTTTTCACTCAAATTTTTCAGTTCAAATTTCACTCCTATCAGTTTTCTCAACTGTCAAATTTAAAATTACAAGTTTGGGTCAAACATGTCAATTCTGTTTGTTTCTGATATGGCATCAGACATCAAAATAGACAGTTCTGAGAGCTCAACTGATGAAGAGCTTGTCCTTGTGCTTCATCTTAAAGGGTGAAAGTGAGCAACCACTGGTACTGCAAGATTCAACTTTTCCAAACTTGAATCATCAATGAAATGGAAGCTTTTATTCTGATTTAGCAAGCCCAAATTATGCAATTAGCAGAATTACTTCAGATTCCTGATCCTTACATAATGATGTCTTGCCATGCAATGACTTTTATTAAGGCTCTGTATATCCTATTACGCTAACTTGCCTGTCCAAATTGACTATCAGACATATTGCGCATTTTTAGAAGATCTGAAACTACAATCTCCATAATAGCCAATAAGATGACAGATTTCATTTATGATAACTGGAAGCACTTGCTCACATGGGATTGTCATTGCCTCACCCAAGCAAAGCTTCAGTATTTTGCCAACTCTGTCTTCAATAAAAATGCTCCTCTCACATCAGTTATAGGATTCATTGATGGCACTGTCTGGGGAATATGTTGTCTAGGTACTAATCAAAAAGTTAATTATAATAGGCACAAGGTACAGATTTATGTTGTAAACTTGTCAGTCTATTTACAGCAACTTCTAGAGGAAACATGCTCTAAAATACCAATCTGTTGTCTCTCCTGAAGGAATTATTATTCATTTATATGGTCCAATTCCAGGAAGCCACCATGATTCATTTTTATTGCATGAAAGTGCATTGCGAGATACTCTGGAGGATGTACTCATATTCGACGATACCATTTTCTACATATATGGCGATCCTGCGTATGGAAGACAAAACCACATACTCTCTGGTTACAAAGGAGCACAACTGACAGAGACACAAGAAGAATTTAATCGAAGAATGAGTTCTGTGCATGTTTGTGTTGAATGGGAGTTTGGGAGAGTTTTGAGGGACTTTGCATTTGTAGATTTCTCAAAAAACCAGAAACTTTATCTTCAGCTAGTTGGAAAGATATACCCCATTGCTGTTTTGCTTTCAAATTTAAAGGTTTGCATAGAGGGATCACAAATGTCATTCTTTTTTAGAGTTGATGTCCCAACTCTAGAAGAATATCTGAACACCATGCCCAAACCAATCATTGAAGATAATAGTGATGAAGAGAACATTTAATAAATTTATTTCTCAAGTTGAGAAATTATGGTCATCATCATTTGCATCTGTGCCTCTCTTTCCTTTCTCTCCAACTCAAGTTTCTCCTCTCTCTCTCTTATCCAATTAGAATTTTGCCTTCTCAAGTTTAAGTTTTCTTTCTTGCAATTCCAAAGATTTCTCCTTCAATCTAGGCTTTGAATCAAAGTACACCGCAATAGATTTGCTCTGATTGGGTGATTTTCGTTTCCTTGTTTGTGGGGGTAGAGAAAGTAGAGCCTCGTCATTTCTGCGGCTGCGTTGCAACGTTTTCTTCTTTACAACGCGATTCAGTGCTGCCTGCATTTTCTTCTTTATAACGCAATTCAGTATTGCCTCTATGATCTCTGCAGTTGCAGCAGCTTTCTTCTCAGCTAATTTAGCCTTCTTTGCCATTTTCAGCTGCTTTTCCATGTTATGTTTGTCAACCTAAAATTAAATATTAGATTGCAAGAAATTAATTATTGGAATACAGTAACCATTACCAATAAGCCAGTCAAAAGCCTTTCATGTTTGTCATACTCTTCCTCAGTTCTAGATACCCTTAGAGACTTGATTTCTTGCTTTCTAAAAGTGTCTTCAAGCTTTTCAAAATGGCGTTGGCAGGAAATATATTTCATAAGATCTGTTTTCCTATTGATGGCAAGATTGAAATTAATTGCAACTTCCTCCCATTTCTTCTTCTTTCCACCGTGGTCCGCCCTGAAAGGTGTAGAATTCATAACCTCTTTAATTAATGCAATATCGTCACTGGGACTAAAGTTGAACTGAGATTTCAATGGTTTCCCACTGCCAGGAATGCTTGGGATTGCCGCCACCATGCTGGCTGTCGTAGGGTTGGTGAGAACAGCGGTGGGCAAACTGGGAATTTTGTTGCGGGTTTGACAACCAGACTTGAAATTTTGATGGCAAATTTTGAAGTTGAACCAGGAATTTTGACGGTGTCACATTGAAATTTTGAAATTTCCCAGTTGCGAAAACTCTCTATTACTCCCTCCCAAAATACTGCAAAAATTACTCAATACAATGTCTTTATTTAGAAAAGAAGAGTGTCAGGACTTCTACATTCGGCATCTTGAAAGAAAGAGCTTCAAATTTATTAATTTGCTTATATCTTTATTGTTGTGAATGTTAGTAGAGTTTTCATAGTATGTTTTTTTGTAACATTTGTTTCCTAATCCAGATAATATTTCACGATATTTTTATCATTTGAAAAAATAAATCTAAGTAGTCAGGAAACTGTTAGCACTTCAAGCCATGCATTTATTCAAATCCAGGGGAGATGCTTAATGTTGACTATCACAATTAAAATTTATATATCCAGTCTTTAATTTTGATTAACAAGTTGGTGATTTTTAGCTGTGAGTGCAATTTCAAGAGTTTTCTTGGCCAAGTTGTTGTAGTGTGAGATTTTTGCTTTAAATAGTAAATTGACCATCTAACTCAATCTGATTTTAATTCAATAATAAGTCTCTTAATTCACAAAATTTTCAAGCAATATAATTAATAACACTTTGAATCTTACAACCCAGGAGTATCTGATAGCTCTGACTAGGATTTGTATTTTCCCCTAATCTCTAGCAAAAGTGTAATTATGGATATCATTATTGTTAGCAAATATAAGTTTCTAGCTAAAGATTAGAATGTTCATGAAAATCTTTATTTTAAAGTATACAACCCAACACATAACTTCCATACTCATTCTGAGCTAATTCATTTGTTTTGCACCCTGCTATTCATTAGTTTGCCTCCTATGACTTTTCTCTTTTAATTCTACTGTTTATTAGATTGCTACACAGTGGTTAAGGGAGCAATTTCAATTTATTAATGACAGCAGTTCTATTTCTAGAATTTCAAACTTTTTCACAAAAAGTAATTATAATAGAAATGTTTCTATGAAAATGTGATTGTTGAATTGAATGATTCCTTTGTGCAGTTAAACAGTTACTGCTTTGCTCTACATTCAAGTTTCCACCAGAAAGTTCTTCAAGTTGTAATC